TTTTCAAACGGTTTTTTTATTTGGGATGTATAAATACACATCCACGTTCATTTTCTATATAGAGATTACTCTATCTATATTAAACATTATTCATATTTATTAAAAGGTTAACTCCTGTCTATCCTACTGCCTGTCGATACTTTTATTTTTGCATTGCACAAGTCATGTCTTCTTTGACTGTGCATGACGTTAAAACACTAAATCCCTGGGATGTGTTTTAGTTGATTTTAGTCTCTGATGCATGATTTTTTATTATTAATTGTTTTTGGCTTTTACTAGCTTTCAGTAATTGCGAGTACTCTCAAATCGTACTTTCGTGTTAATTTGACCTGTTGATACAATTTGTAATGCATTTTTGTTATTTAATGTTTACGATAAATTTTCACTTCTGTTCTCGTACTATGAACAACAAAATTATTTGTTTTGTAAAAAACATTTCCGTACTCCATGTATACTTTGCAACAAAATTATTTTTATTTACCTGTGTACGTTGTTTTATTTCTGATATTGTTTTACATCTAACCCCCTTGTTTTATTAATTTTGTATTTACATTGTGTCATAGATCAAATTTATTCGTTCAGTGTATGTTCACTTGTTTTTGTTAATATTTATTTTGATTGAGTTAAGCCATTTCAATTGATATTCTATAGTGTGTCTTTCTTTGTTGTGGTGTTACACTATTATTTCAGGTTAGGGTGAAGGTTGGCGCCCATTAAAACGTTAAAACCCGCTGCATTTGTTTGCACCTGTCCTATGTCAGGAACCTGATGTTCAGTGGTTGTCGTTTGTTGATGTGGTTCATAAGCGTTTCTCGTTTCTCGTGTTTTTTATATAGATTAGACCGTTGGTTTTCCTGTTTGAGTGGTTTTACACTAGTCATTTTTGGGGCCCTTTATAGCTTGTTGTTCAGTGTGAGCCAAGGCTCCGTATTGAAGGTCGTTCTTTGACCTATAATGGCTTGCTTTTACAAATTGTGACTTGGATGGAAAGTGGTCTCATTGGCACTCATACCACATCTTCTTATATCTATTTAAAATTGGAAATAAAATTGCAAGTTCTACCGAATCAGTCGGAAAAAAAAATTGGACAAAGTATCGTTTTCCTCTTCTTTTTTGAGATATAAAAAAGAAAAACACCTTTGCTTTTCTTTTTTTTTTTTATATTTCAAAAACGGAAATCGAAAGAAAAGTGTTTTTGGTACCAAGTTTAAACAAGAATATATATGCATTTGAAACCATGCCCCGCTTGCACCATCACATTTACATGCTATATGACCCGCTAAATCTAGGTAAAAACGCCTTATTTAGTATACAAATTAAATGTTTACTTCATAAAGAATATGTCTACCAACATACCTTAAACCAAAACTAAAAACTGATACAGGTCTAAAAGATGGACAGATGTACATACCGGTAAACATAATGCATATTTACTATCGTTGGCATGGAAAAGCAGAAACACTTTCGAAAAACAAATGAACGCGAATATGCACACACCATCCTATCAAAAATTATTGAAATGCTGCTTATCAAAACAAAATAGACTTTTTTAAAAAAGTTTAACCAGATATATCGCAAAACATTAAATTTATATTAATTGTGGACACGATAAAAAAAACAGGTAACCTCACCAAAAAATGCTGTGCGATAACAAATTCCTCCTTTGAATACAATGTGGAAGGAAAAAAAAATATGAAGGTAAGTGCAACTTATCTATCTGTTACATCTGATAAATCGTTCTTTGTTAAAAAAACACTATGATTCAAACAAAATATTCTATAAGCTGACATTATCAAGATGCTTGATTTCTTGATTGACAACCTATTTGTCACGTTTGGAGGAAGTGTTTTCAAAAAACAATCGGCATTCACACGAAAACCAACTGTGCTTCTCTTCTTGTCGACTTTATTCATATCAGGCTGACTTCATACAGGAACTTCTTAGGAAATAAGAAAAGAAAAAAGTAAAATCACAAAAATACTGAACTCCGAGGAAAATTCAAAAAGTCCCAAATCAAATGGCAAAATCAAAAGCTCAAACACATCAAACGAATGGATAACAACTGTCATATTCCTGACTTGGTTAGCAGTATCCTTAACCTCACGTTCCGCGATATAGATGATGTTCTCTCACTAAATAATTCAAAATTTGTTTACATTTTCTAGAAAATTTGATCAATGATATTACAATTTTTTTTATTTGATTAGGGACTTTTTTGAATTTTCCTCGGAGTTCAGTATTTTTGTGATTTTACTTTTTTGGTGACTAGGTTGAACGCATCTATCCCATCGAGATAAAGGATACAACAGATACTGTTAAGTCGGCCTCATATCTTGATTTGTATCTAGAAATTGACAATGATGGTCGGTTTAAAAAACTTTACGACAAAAGAGATTATTGCAGCTTCCCAATTGTGAACTTCCCATTTCTATATAGCAACATTCCAGCAACACATGCATACGGAGTATATATCTTCCAGTTGATACTATATTTCAGGTTCCTGTTGCTCAGTCTAGTTTTCTATGCTGTGTTTTATGTACTGTTGCTTGTTTTTTATTACTTTTTAGCCATGGCGTGGTCAGTTTATTTTCGACTTGTGAGTTTGAATGTCCCATTGGTATCTTTCGCCTCTCTTTTACAGTAATGAGATTGTGGTATTTTTAGATATATAAAAGTTTTAACTTAGATTTCTCTTTTGTTAACTAATTACACCTTTGTTGTAATGTAGCACCTCCCCCCTAAGCCCGCACCCGCACCCAAGCCCATCCCCTTCTTTATCCCCAAATTATTGTTTGGCATTTTTGTGCTTGCATTTTGTTTACATGTTCTAGAAAATTTGATCAATGATATTAATTTTTTTTTTACTTGACCAAGAAGGCAGAGTTAGACAGTTGTCGTGACAACTCCTTGAATTCAGTTTGATGCACTGGTTTAAGCTCCTGACATTCTTTGTCTTTCCTATTAAAAGGGGTCAAGTAGGATAGGGCAAAAACATTAAAAGCGTTTTGATAATGCACCCCTATTTAACATCTGTTAACTTCCTTCAAGATCCAATGACAAATTGAAAATCATGTTACAATGAATTATCAGGTAACGACCATATCATGGATTAACATCTCTGACATCTGGCCTATAATATATCTTGATTGGGCCTTGGAACATCAGAGCGCAGTCCATAGAGAAAACATGGAAATTGCCGACCCAAACTTGGGGTGGCAAATTTCTGTCTCGAAATCATAAATGAATCTTTCTATGTAGGTAAATCATACATTATTCGATTCCTTATTTATTTTACTCGACGAAGATGTAAATTTTATTAATAAACTAACCCCTTGTAGCATTAACGAAAGCTGCATTCCCTTAATTCAAGCTTTTTTTGGCTTCGTTCTTTTCGCTTTGAATAAACTGTAACATGATTGCGTTATTTCATTCCGTCCACATAGAATTTTGGTTGTTAATTTATGCATATGATCCCGGTGACCTGCATATATAAACAAGGTAAAGGTTTGTCTCTTCATCCAATCTATTCAATGTAAACGTAGCGCATGTCAACCTACGTGCATATATTAGCTCCTATGATAACAAGTACTATGAAGAAATGACGCGAGGTTGCAATATTTGTTCACAGTAAAAGTATGTCACTGCAAATAGTGGGTTGATGGAAATAAATCTTTAGTTTGTGCTACGGGAGTTTATTACGTGGATATATATATTCGAGGATTAAAATCAAAATAGAAATTTGACCTGTCAGCAAGGGCCCCGACGGTATATTTGTGTGAGGCACAGAAGTAAATAATTTATACTAATGCAAACACAGCAATGTATGTTTGTGGATTATCAATATTTCTTGGAATGTGTGGTACAAGCAGATACTTAATTAAACGCCTTATGAAATACTTATTCCCCTCTGAGATCTAATGTTTTAATCTAAAAGTCTATAATTTTTATTACTAGTGACATTTTCATAAACACGAACGCCTCAAAAAATTTATGATTTATAACAATAACTAAGTTTTTATCACTTTTTTTTCCAATTTCACAAAATCCTATTATGTTACTGAGAATCAATTTTATTGGACTCCTACCTATACTTTTGAAGTTTTTGCCTTTTCAAAACCTATTTCTGGAAATTTGTGACTTTTAAGCAAAAACTAAGGTTTTTTTTCCAAAATTAATGAGCCGAATTTCACCGATATAATACGCACATCTACATATCAGATGCACAAAAACAGTGCAAAATTTCATTGGCCTCTACCTATACATTTGGAGTGATTGCGTTAGAAAAAAATGCTGTCGGACAGGAGGACGGACGGACAGACAGACAGTCAGACAGACAGACAGACGGACAAAGTTGATAATAAAGGCCTCCCACATCCTCGATACGGGTCCCTCATAAGGAATCGAATTATATATCATTTATCTACTTGAAAGTAGGTCTATAACGATTTCGAGAAATAAACTTGCTAGACAAGTCGGGTTGGGAATTTCGATGTTTTCTATATGGACTGCGTCTAACGGAAGAACTCGTTTTTGTTTTTGTTTTTTTAAAATTATAACGAATAGCAGGCGGCAAAAGATTATTATACCTGATTGACCAAACATACCAATGAAAAGAAAATAGATGGTTCTCCGAACATTTTGAGTGCAAATTCATATAAAGTCTTCTTCTATAATAATAAAAAAAAAAGATCAAGTATGCTACATATACGTTGTCTGGAACTGTGAGGAAATGGTTAAATCTGTAAGTTTTCTCCTGGATAGCATCACTTCACGTTGCGGCAATACAGTTTTTCGGCAGGTTGCATTTTGAAATATTTCAATGAGCATAGTGTATGTATATCTGGTTAATTATTAAGTGAGGGATGTCATTACCACGCAAGATATATCACATCCTTATTTTCTTATTGACAACTTCATCATGATATCACAATTTTAGTGTTTTTGAGGAAATTGTAGGTTTTTAAACCACATTAAGAGAAAAATATTTGAGCATACATTACCTTGACAACGCCTTCCACCGTAATAAGATTTACAGGAACATGCACCATTCCTAGAACATGTCCCAGATGTTGACCCTTTGTGATGACACTGAATTCCAGTTAAACATCTTGTACTATCTGTACAATGAAAAGTACCAACACAACATTTTTTAAAACATTGTCTAGTTTCCTGACTACTTCCGGTACATTGTTTACCACTGCCTTGTTGTTTCACAGCTATATGTCTCAGGCGTTTATGTTCACCACCAGTCCCACAAGCTCTTGAACAGGATGACCATGCAGTTCAATCGCTCCATTTGCAATCTTGATGTAGTTTTATTTCACAATGGAGTCCAGTAAAGTTATCTTTACACGAGCATTGGCCAGAATTGTTATCACACGTGTTAGATATCGACCCGGTTCCATTACACCCACAAAGTGTGCATGATGATGTCACGTGTTCACAAGTAAAAAACTGAGAACCTTCACGTTTATAGCCTTGCTTGCATTTGTTTTCTATTTTCGTCGATTTAACTAAATGAAACTTTTCACATTTGACGTTCGAAGAATGTGCTATCAATGCACTGCATGAGGAATCGTTTACAAATTGTATCTGGTTTTTCAGTCGTTCGTCATAAAGTCTAACAACCGGAACAGTAGATTTACCTAACACGTAATTAACCATTAACAACACTGAGAAACCATGTGACTGTGCAATGTGGAATTTTCTCTATAGGGTGTTGATTTTGGTTTTGTAATTATCTGTACAAGCTTCAGCTTGATTCCGATTGATGACTGCAGTAGGAAGGGATTCTGGTTTAAACGGTGTCGTCAATTTGGCGATTGTTAAAGTATGCATCAATTTTAAAAAGAACCCTATGCAAGTTGACGACAACTCTTGATGAAACAGTCCTCTTATGAGTTGCTCCCTTAAATGATTGACACGTTAGGGCATCCATGGCTTGTTTAATATACAACTTCATAGCTAGATACGTGTTATAAAAGGGCCCAAGGTCTGCTATTGTTAAAATATTTTCCTTGATTTTATGATGGTTAAAGTTTTTGCACAATTTCAAATGCATGTGGAACACATTTTAATGATGTAGATAAATAGTTTGTAATTAATTGTCCATCAATAATTGGGTCTAGTTTAGGTACCAGCTTCAAAAGGGAGATAACTGATACTATATCTATTGCTGAATTTACCTGATTGTGCTTCTGGCAATGATGTCCATCATAATACTCGGGACAGATACAAATATCTTGTTTTGTCTTCGGAAGAAGGATGCAATTTCCATCGCCGCATTTAGCTTTACAAACATTCTTAGAGAAACATTCTTGCATAGCTTTAAAGAGATGTTTCCTGAACTCGTACATATCATTAGCCCATTCCTGTATATTTGCTATTGAACTTATGTTTGGTTTAGACAGTTTCTGGTAGACAACTGCAACTTGTTTAGCTTTGAAGAATTTTAAAAGTAAGTTCACGCCAAAATTTAACATTATCTGCTCGTCACACCCAGAAGAAGTCTTAACTTGATTGACAAGGGGTACATCCGAAAACCTTGTCCCGTCCAATGTTGTCCTCAGGATATGAGAATAGTCATCTGCAATGTCAAAATCATTCCTAAAGATTTCAGCTGTCCATTGTATCTTCTCTTTACATTCTGATGAACTAGTACACTTTAACGCGTCCATTTTCTCTAGAAATTTATTCAGCAGTAAGAAACTGAAGTCCATACTTCTGAGTTCAAAGAAAATCTCCCTGAATTCTCTGCCAAATTTAACATCAGTTGTTAATTCCAGTTTTTTATTAATTTCTGTGAAAATCTGTTTGATATCTTGAAAATATTTCTGTTCTGATTTTTGATCAAAGTCCAGAATAAACAGCAAGGCTATCGACAGCTCCAATGAAGTTCGTCAGTAAATGAATTTGGTTCAAAATGGATGACTTCCGTTCGGTATTTAAGATATTAACGATACGCTTTCCATCATTTAGACCAATTTTCATTTGACTTTTCCATTTGTCTCTCAGAGAACTACTTTCAGTGGTAGAATCACACTGATATTGATGTATAATCATTAGGAATGTGGTAATATCAAATAGTTGCATTTTGCTGAAAGAGGTATCGGAAATAAACACATTTATTCTAAAACCAGTTGTTGGCATGATACGGGTTATGTTCTTCTCATATATTTTATGATGATATGATACTAAACCCCTAACGGGAGGGATTGTACTTGATTTTCATATGATGAAGACATAATCTTTCAATCAGTTTAATTGAGGTCTGGAGCTGGCATGTCAGTAACTGCTATTAGTCCTTTGTTCATTTATGTATCATTGTCATTTTGCTTAGTTTCTTTTGTTACCTATTCTGACATCGGCTTTTATTTTTTTTTATCTTTAATGTCATTTAAAGTAAAAAAAATGAACAACAGAAAAGTAGCTTAGAAATAATTAAGTTATAAAAAAATACCTAATTATATATAATATATGAGCTGCGTCGGATAGAAATCGACATCATGCAAGTGCACGTATACATATAAGTCTTTGATTGATGTTAGAACATTCAAATACGAAACAAAAGATGAATTTTGGTCTATTTTGTTGGGTTCTTATAACAACTCAATTTTCAAATATTTACAAACTTTCCGTAGAGATTTTTTCAACCCGATTAGGTTAACAGATGTATTGATATTCATTTGCATAAGGTCGATTTCTCCACGACGCAGCTTATATATAATTTGACATTTCGGAATCTACGACTTTTGCAAAATATTGTGACTGGTTAAACTATGGAAATACAACCATCGGCATAACGTCATTTTCATTTTAAGGTACGGACAATTAAATTATCTGTAGTCCTTAAGAATCTGAAACGTCGAACAAACAAATTGAATGGCTGTTGGTTGCTTAACGTCCAGTTGCAAATATTTCATGCATGCTCAGGACGATCGAACAAACAAACATTCAGCTTATTCATTGCTGGATTTTTTGTAGGTTTTTATTTTCTTGTATTTGTTGGGTTTTTGTTGTTATTTGGATATTTTTTTAAAAGTCATCATCAATCAAAAAGCATATCCTAAAACTCTTCAAAAATTTAAGAAATGATATTGTATTTGGCTCTATAATTTGTTTTCTTTATGTCGCCTCTTATACCGGAACCTGGATTATACTTAATAGACTTAAACGGCATTATAAAACAAATTTATAGTGGAAAGGAATTATACATTTTCGGCACGTTTAAAATTCTAGAGGGGAAAGTCATTCAAGGTTTGCTACAAAAGTACAAGATGACAGTCCTACCAAATATTTCATACTTTTTCAATGTCAATTGGAACTGCATAACAATGAATACTTAACCTTCAATTATCCGAATTTCAGATTTGATTCTGTGTTAGGATGAACACTAGTCCCTGTTAATTACGATCTCTCTTTTAAAAATATGAATAAAAGATCCATAGAACTTGGGTTATTCAAATATAACAAGCATAACCGACATAAATTTTATTTGATTGTTTGTTTGTTTGTTTGTTTTGGTAGGTTTTTTTCGGGTTTTATGTTAGCCTTTTTCATGAACATGATGAAGTGATATGATATTTATCCTGCTATGATATAAATGTCATTTTTAATTTTTTTATTTTTTTGTTAATGCCCGATTTGGATAAATTACTTACCAATGCTGATCATCAGTTATTTTTTCTTCTTTTCAGTAATGTTGTTATCCAGTTTTTGCCAAGTTGTGAGAGAAGATTTTTTTTCGTGACAAACTATTCTTCATTATATTTTTGTTGCATGTTAGATCAAGCGTCAGGATGAAAAATCAATCAACATCACATATGTTTAATACATTCATTGCTTAAATGTCATTATTGATATATACTGACGAGAGATGAATAAACAAAATAACTAGACACCGATATCAATTTGATGCCCCAAATGCGCATTTAAAGAACTTATAACTTAAAAGTTGTGATTTTTTAAAGCCGATTATTTGAAAACCGAACCCACATGTAGATTGGTAACTGCTAATCCTACCGAGTTCACCGATATCAAATGTTTAACCTAAAAGGAAAATAATTTTATCAAATTTTAATCATGCTAAGGATATATTTTTTGGCACCATGAAGCCGTTTAAGTGACAAGCCACTTTGACATTTTGTTTTCTTAACAATTATTTGATCATTTTTGATATTTATTAAATAAATTTTAATAACAAAGTTACTTTATATGTAATAGTTCAAGAAAAATACAAAAATGTTTTTTTAAAAATAAGTGTTTTCTTATTCAAAGAAAAATAATCTAAAAACTGAATTGTGACTTTTTGTCTTGTGACTTTTTGTCCGTGACTTTTTATCTGTGACGTTTTGTCCTGTGACTGTCTGTCCTACATTCTACGACGCTTATATTCCATTCGTTTCGTTGGTTGGTATAGTCGAGCGTTTGATTTTTTCAGTTTTCATGGACCCCTTTTTTTAATTTACCTTGGACTTTTTATGTTTTTTCTACCATGCATCATTTGTAAATATAAAAATAAGAAGATGTGATATGATTGCCAATGGAACAACTCTCCACAAGAGACCATTGACACAGAAATTAAAACTATAGGCCACCGTACGGTAACCATATTCATAGCACGAAGGTTCAGAAAGTAAAACATGAAAACAAATATAAAAAAACAAAAAAAAAACAACATTATCAATGATACATTGAATCCAAGTCTAGTTCGTAAGAGTGTTATAATGATCCACCAAAATAGCCTACCAAAACCCTACTTATCACTATGTCCCTACTGTCAATGAGATTAAAATTATGCAAAAATCTATTTTATTTCTTCATAGTTCTCCTAGAAGATCTGAATATGCAACAGAAGATTATTAACATTGAAACATACTTTATTTAAATTGTTTTACATTTTTTCATGTTATAGCTTACTATACAGTTTGGGTTTTGCACATTGTTGAAGACCGTACGGAAATCTATAGTTCCCGTTGTTGAAACTCTGTTCAATGGTTATCTTATTGGCAATCATACCACATCTTTTGAGTGTATGGTGTATGTTAAGCAACAGCCGAACCGTATATTTTTCCGTCATCTTAATTTTTATTAATCTAAAGGCATAAAAGCATAGAAGCAGCAACAATATTTGTTTTACTTTGATTGAGACAATTCACACTATTAATTAAAAGATGCACGATTTTATTTATCTACAAAATGCACTGAAAAAAAAAACGACCACATTTTTTTTAAAACATTTTCCAGGATTGATTCTTTTAACAAAGCATATCAATAAATAACAAAGAAATTGAAGATGAAACAGATTAACCAAAAACGTTAAACGACGATATCATGAATAAAGAACAACACAGATTTTTTTGTCATATTATGTATACTTCGTTGCAATTTCAGACATAAGAACAACACAAACTAATTTTAGGGAGATTTAAATACACTTCTAAATTCCACTTAAAAAGAAACCAAAAAGACATTTAGAAGAATTGAAGTTGGCATATATAGCATGTTGTGCATGAAAAATACTAATTAATTAAACATGCAATCAGAAAAATGGATCAAAATCTCTGAAAAGCACGAATTCCAAGGTGGTCTTTGCTGTCGTCATACAAAGATGTCGTTAAGTCATCACTGAAGAGTCGAATACAAGTATAAATGAGATCTAAGAT